ACTTGATAGGGAGAGGTGCCATATTTACGTAGGCCGCAGTACGACCTAGTTCGCCGAATGAAACGCCACGCAAAGAAGGCTAAAGGATTGAAGTATGTTGAAAAAGGGTGATGAAATGCGAATGTCACGAGGAAGAAAAAAGAAAAGAAGAAGAAGAAGTATGAAGAGAGGAGGGGGGTAGAGATCTGGTAGATGCGGAAGTGACCTCAGGAGGCCGCTGCTGTCGTTGCTGAGGTGTCGCTTATGATTTGATCACGTGATACAGGAGGTCGTCCCTTTCAGATGCAGTGTTTGTAGTTAAGAAAGATAAAGAGAGAGCAAAGTAAAATATAGATAGCAAACTACTGATATCTTGTTTGTCAGATTAACCTGAGAGAAGTACTGTCAACTCAAGTTCATACGCATGTTGGAGATATAGTTACCTGACCGCCCTCACAATGTTTACTCCTAAGTAACTAGGTAACTAACACGTTACCACTCATCCACCTAGCCACGTTCTCTTTGTTTCGTCTAACGTTTGGAGTCAAATTCTACTGCTCTGAAATATATCACACTCACTCTACTCTTTGAGGACACCCATTTCTCTAAATGCAGGCTATTGATGCCTGCAAGAGAATATAAACTGAACCTCATCGCGTGGACCCTGGAAGCAAGGAATGTGCATGTTCAGCCCATTTTATATTCCAACCGTGACAAGCAGCCTCTCGCGGCTAAAATCAATACTTCCGAACTCAGGAGGTTCTAGGATTGGGATTTGGATTTGGCCCCTTAACCAGATCCTGATCCACTCTAGCGGAGCCTGTCATCCAACCATTACAATTTCGGTTGAAATATTCAGACGTCATCAGGTGAGCAGCGCCTGAGTCCCTTCGGCACTTTCCCATTATGAAGATACTTAAACCACAGATCCCAGCTGCAGTGACCCCCAATCTAAGACATCTCCCCAAGCTAAGGCAATATATCCGACTGCCAACAGTCCAGTAGAGCCCAGGAGGAAGTTATTCCGATGGTCTTTGACCCCAAATTCATATCAAACCCCGAATCGGTGTCACTGGAGTGCACATCGGCCCATATTTACTCGCATTTCTCGGCGTAACCGATCAATTATCACGCACACAGCGCCACGCGGCTTGTGGATGGTTCTCCATGTCGGCTGAGCCAAGTCCCGAAGGATCTCTGGCCAAGGTCATCCCCACGCCAAGCCAGCCTTAAAGTGTGTGATGCGGGATGTTGCTTATATCCTGTCCTCGCATTGGAGGGAGGTCGGTTCCAAGCCCTTGGCATCTGCTTGGCTCCCTAGCGGAGTGGTATTCTACTTGTCCGAAACTCGGGCCATCCTGGGGTGCAGCGACATTCATTGTTCCTACCACGAGAAAAATGCGGGATGGAGATAAAAATGCGGGATGGAGATGCGGGGATAGATCGTGGTTTTGTACCTATAAAATGGTGGGCGTAGACGTAGAAATCGAAAGGAATATGCCACAGATCACCTGGAAAAATCCCACAAAATCTACTATCAAATTTTCTGGGCGGCTTTGTTCAGAGTGATCTGATTATTCTGTTGGTTAGCTTGCTGTGCCTGCTTCTTCTACTTTCTTGCCCCTGTTTTTTCTCTTTTTTTTTTGCTTTTTTGATAGATTGCCATAATGGCTTCTTCAAATGAGAGGGCAGATCCCATTCCGGATGGTATGTTCGCCACGGCACGTCAGTCCATTGGAGATCTCTTCATCTGGAAGCAGCGTGTCGAGGTGACTAATGAGCACGGGGAGTCATACGCAGAATGGCAAACTCCAGAGCCTATTAAGAACCCTTTCAGTCTCATGGCGCAGCTTTCAGCTCGAGACTGGCTATTCTTTATAGTGGGACTTATTGCCTGGACTGCCGATGCATTTGACTTCCATGCCCTCTCCATCCAGACAGTAAAGCTGGCAGACTACTACAATAGATCCAAGACAGATATTACGACTGCCATTACTCTGACTCTGCTCCTGAGGAGTGTAGGAGCTGCATTCTTTGGACTCGCTGGTGACAAATATGGTCGTAAATGGCCCATGGTGCTCAACATGATCATTCTGGGAATCTTGCAAATTGCCACCATTTATAGTAAGACCTTCCAGCAGTTCTTGGCTGTACGAAGTCTCTTTGGTCTTTTCATGGGTGGCGTTTATGGAAATGCTATCTCGATGGCTTTGGAACATTGCCCGTGAGTTTTATCTTCCAAGGCTCAATGACTTTTGTTAATCATCCTACAAACCAGTGTCAACGCGAGAGGCCTTATGTCTGGAATCCTCCAACAAGGGTATTCCATGGGATATGTGTTTGCAGCATGTGCCAACCTTGGTGTTGGCGGTGGAACGGAAACTTGGAAGACTGTGTTCTGGATTGCAGGTGAGTTTACTATTCCCACTGAATACTGTTTGTCCACCACTAACAACTTTTCCTATGCAGCCGGTATCTCAATTGCAGTTGGTCTCGTCCGCATCTGCTTCCCCGAGTCACAGTCCTTTATCGAAGCCAAGAAAGCCGGCAAGCGAACAATGAACGCAGGCGAATTTTGGCGTGAAACAATAAGCATGATTGGCAAGGAGTGGCGCATGTGTGTCTACTGTATCATTCTCATGACCTGGGTATGTTATGACTGATATTCCAGCCCCTATCAGCAGTTATCTAATTTGTCCGGCGATAGTTCAATTTCTATTCCCACACATCCCAAGACTCGTACACCACATTCATGCTCACTGCAAAGGAGCTTGATAACGACGGCGCCTCACGGGCTTCAATTCTGATGAAGACAGGAGCCTGTGTGGGCGGAACCATCATCGGCTACCTGTCCCAATTCTTCGGTCGTCGCCGAGCAATCATCATGGCCGCTTTTGTATCTGGGGTCCTCATCCCGGCATGGATTCTCCCAGAAGGCGAGGGGTCTCTGAGCGCGACAGGATTCTTCATGCAATTCTTCATTCAAGGAGCATGGGGTGTGATTCCCGTTCATCTGGCCGAACTATCACCCCCCGCGTTCCGCTCTTCGTTCACGGGTCTGACATACCAGATTGGAAACATGATTTCCTCGCCATCGTCGCAGATTATAAACGCAGTCTCTGAATCCACATTTATCACTAGTGCAAGCGGCCATCGTGTTGAGGCCTATGGGCCTGTGATGGGAGTTGCTACTGCGATCATTGCTCTCGGTATCATGGTCACTACTGCTATTGGTCCTGAGAAGCGTGGTCGCCGGTTCGAAAGTGTTGTGGCTGGAGTTGACGACGCTGCCAATGCCAAAGCCATGGATTTGGAAGCTGGTGAGGATGATCATAAGCCAAGTGACAAGAACATTGAGATGGCGAATCAGAAAATCTGAATTGCTACTTCTGGTAGTTGATAGTTGATTTTGGGATCGGCGTAATTTCCGGCGCTTTTTTCATTCCACGGAGTGCAATATAGAGAGGCTTGTACCTACTATATTCTCCCACTTGTCTGGGTTTGTTATGATTTATGTCCAAGGATAACAGAAGAACAACGAGAGAATGAAATGATACTATAAGTGTTAGACCGCACCATATATAACACAATCCCATGTGTAAATTACGTACGTGGAGGGTACCATGGCTTTTGTATGAGATGCCCATACACAAGGTACTATAAACCCTTCATACATATCTCAACCACAGCATGATTTAGGTAGTAATTAAACCTAACTTATGATACTTAGTTCTTTGGTTGTATATATTCGAGAAGTGTTAATTTACAGATAGTGTTTAGAGTACATATATATGTAATGGTTCAGGAAGATTTTGCATTACCATCTTTTAGAAGAGCTTTCAATTTTGATCTCTAATATAGTAAAGAAGAGTTTTTCTTGATGTAAATTACTTGACTTACATCAATCTTTATTGAATCAAGCGTGTCCTATTCGTCTTGCCGTAAAACTTGCATATAACGAACTAATTGAGACACAACAAACTACGTACTTGTGACCGAAGTGTTTTAAAGTACAGGACTATAGTACATATATATCATATATATATCTATGTAGGTTAAATACAAGTTTAGTTCAAAATGTCACCACTGCTCTGTTTCTTTCTATGCCTATAGCTTCCTCGCCTGTAAAGCCTCTCATGATTCTACAGAAGCTTCATATTTTAATGATGCCTATCCCAAAATGAAGGGTTGGAGTCGCCGCTACTCAGAAAGCGGAGACCTTCTAAGAGGTGGCAATCGACCAACGAGGCATTTTACCTACATAGGGAATAATAATTGACTAGGTAGTTGAAATTTCTCGGCTCAGCTCCGATATAACGAATTTGTAAGGCAGAGAGTTTAACGGTTTGTAGTAAGGGCAAATTTCCGTTATTACTATGGTGGATGAATTGAAGCGGATTACTTTACTAGAATTTCCAGACAGGCTTCTATATCTATATGACTATCGACTGTTAATATTAAAGTAATTCAGGTATCTCAAAAGTCATGTCATTTCAATCGTCTAAGTACCCACCGACAACCCCCCATTATGGATAGAGCAGAACCAAGTATAGTAAACTCTGGGGTAGAAAGACTCAAGTCTTCTAGCTGCGTGTCTCGGAGTCCACATCGATTTCGGGTGGAGGATGGGTTATCCAAACTGTAGGACAAGCCGCTGTTTAAGTCGCCATACAGTTTGTTGTATAAGCGTGGGCAGTTCTCATGTTGGCATTGTCGTCATATCGGAGGACCATATTGTCACTCTACAAGCTACGGCCGGTTTACTTCTATGCCAGGCAAATGGCACCTACGAGGATAGGATAAGGACAGACAAGATAGGCCAGAACAAGGTACCCAATCCACCACGAGAAGATTCTCGCCGGGAAAGAGACCGACTCTTTGACGAAGCCCGGAAGGCATTCTCAAGCGAGTCTTGGCTAGACACTAGGTCGAAACCCAGTGTCCGCCATCCAATTCAACAATGGTTATGCGGAAAACATCACCTCTCGTGAAGCCTCATTGTGAAAAGGGAAAAGCAGCAGTAAAAAGGTAATAATGAATTCATGTCTCTCCCACGCCTATCCTGGTTGCCGGAGTACAAAATCAAGACCATGTTGGATGCAGAGATCAAGGGGCCCGCTGACTGGCAGTGGGGTGCCCGTCCACAAATTTTGTTTCCTCGAGTACTCGGGATAATTTTTTGGTTCTTGTCGAGTACCTCGTACTTCACAGGCCCTACCCAGCCATTATCTCTGATTTAGAGAGACTTAACGGATAATTCCATCGTACTTGGTCTTGTACCACTTCATGGTCTCGGAGGTGGTGATGCGGTGGTTGACACCGATCTTGGACTGGCAGCGGCGGCGCTTGGCAACGCGGGCACCGGGGCGGTCCCTAAAATAGTTTGTTAATATCCAGAAGTCGTCATGGTAAAATGCAGTGTAAAAGTAGAAAACTTACATGCAGACGAAGAAGTCCATGCCGTAGATACCAATACCGGGATCGTACTTGATACCGAGATCGATGTGCTCGCTGATACCGAATCCGAAGTTACCGGTCTCAGAGAAGTTGCGCTTGCGGAGCTCGTACTCCTTGACCTTGAGGCCACGCTCGAGGATCTCCTCGGCCTTGGCGCCACGGATGGTGACGTGGACGGAGATCTTTTCGTTACGGCGGATACCGAAGGTACGGACGGTGTAACGGGCCTTGCTGTAGACGGGGGTCTGACCGGACAGCTGCTCGAGAACCTTGGCGGCACGAGTGAGTCTATCACCGGACTCTCCGACGGAGATGTTCAGGACCAACTTCGACAGGCGAAGGGATCGGCAGGGGTTCTCGGCCTTAGTAACTTGGGCGGACTGCATAATGTTAGTCGCAAATCATGAAATGGTGCATCTCGTCAACGAATAGATATTTCAGGGAAATTGAAGATTGGGTGCGCGCAAGATGGGAATCTCCAGGTTTGGGCCCAGATTAAATGGAATGGAGTAAAGCAAGCAGTCAATCTGGAATGTATGATTTGGATCGCAAGAGCTGAACATACCATGACGGCGGTTGGGCGTGAAGTGGTTGTCGACTGAGGAGACAAGAGTGATCGCGGAAAAAGAGAAAGTGTGGACTGTGGGTTCCTACACGTGATTTGGAAGCCCTGATCTTTGCTTTGGTAATGAGCCTAATTTTAGCGCTTAGTCAGGAAGACTTTCGACCCGCTTTGTGCCTGAGGCACCAAAGGGCTTACAAGGTTCCAAGTCCACGGGTTGGGACTGAGCTGACTCATGTCTTAGGTAATTCAGTATCAAGAACTGGCAGCACCCGACAAGCTTGAGCTTCACATCTTCGATAGGATCTTGCATCTTTGCTTCATCCGCCACAGTAGAAAGACTTTCTCTATCTACTGATATCTATTTTTTGGTCTGTCAAGTCGCATCCGTGCGCGCTCTCTAGCCAACATGGCTTCCCACAAGATGGTGAGTTTCTCGTCCCCATTTCCACCCCCGAAACCCGTGCGGTCAATGGCTGTCGCTAACTTCTCTCGTTTAGCAAAACCTTGTGAGTCTGGCTAAAATTACTTCTAGTTCTCGATTGGAATATCTAACTTCTCGTCCAGATTAACTACCGGATGCGCGTAACACTGAACGATGGACGTCAAATGACCGGTTCCATGCTTGCATTCGATAAGGTATTTCTCGCTGCTTCAGAAAGCGAGGCGCTCAAGCTGACATTTCTGCTCTCTAGCACATGAACCTAGTTCTTGCAGACACAGAAGAATTCCGTCGCATCAAGCGGAAGTCCAAGCCCGCTGCCGGTCCCACAAACGCCCCGCTGGTCGAAGCGGAAGAGAAGCGAAGCCTTGGCCTGACTATCGTGCGCGGTACTCAAGTTGTGTCTTGCTCTGTTGAAGGTCCTCCTCCTGCCGACCCCTCTGCCCGACTTGGAACTACTGGACCCGGCGCAGCTGCCACTCTTGCCGCGGGCCCTGGTATCAGCAAGCCCGCTGGCCGCGGCCTGCCTATCGGACTCGGAGGCCCTGCAGCCGGCGTTGGTGGACCCCCACCCCCAGGCGGCTTTGGATTCCCCCCTGGAGGTTTCCCAGGTGCCCCTGCTCCCGGCTTCGCTGGACGTGGAGGCCCCCCCGGTGGACCTCGTAAGTACTCCTATTTGCCTACACTGACTAAGACTCAAACTGACTGGCTTCTTTCTAGCTGGGTTTGTGCCTCCTCCTGGATTTGCTCCTCAGGGTGGCCCTCGTAAGTTTGCGCCCAAATCATTCTCCCATTCCATCTTCCATCTTCCATGCTAATATTTTATTCTCATAGCTGCCGGTTTCCAACCTCCTCCTGGCTTCCAGCCTCCCGGTCAGGGACGCGGATACCCTCCTCCTGGATTTAGTGGCAGGTAATTGGAAATGTGCACAGAGGATTATTCTATGCTTCAAATCATCGGCGATCTGATTTCACCCCGAAAGTAACAAGGGCGGCTCAGCGCAGAATAAGAACAATTGTCAACGCCTCCAGCGAGAGATAACGATACGCGGACAGGCTGGATTACCCCAACTTCTACTGGGCAAGGCGTTGCGGCGCATGGATGGAGGTCGTGTCGAGGAACAGGACAAAAAAGACCAAAATCCTTTTGAATTACGCATTAAGTCAAAAAAAAAAATATGCTAGCTTTTAAACGCGGCCTTCTCATTCAACCCTGTCTAATATCCCGATTCTTAATATCCACTTCCTGTTAAATTATGTTGTCTTCTATATTGTATGCTGTCTCCTTCCACTGCCTACATCGATAGGCCTATATGTAACAGATTTGCGTTCGTATCATATACCACCTCGTTGGTTTCTTCTTTTGTCGTTATTTGAACATTAAATCGTAACATGAAGGTGAATTCGAGGTCATCGGCGTGAAGTATCAATCCAATATATATTTGTGTAGCTCTTCTTATATTGCGCCCGAAAACCACAATATATGAAGAATACAACTAAAAATGACGATATTGTACATAATCACCAATAGTCACTAGCTATTTGCACTCATCTTGATACAATAACATGATACTTGATCCATAAGATATCAGTTTTAACGAAGATAATATTGTAGTAATCTAGTCCACGTGACACGGCCGACCCCGGGTATGTCGAGCACTTCCGCATCATCCAGATATCGACCTTTCCTCCCCCGAATCCAATCCCGTGTGATAACTCCCAGCAACTTCACAATGGCTGCTGTTATTAAGGCAATCAACGCCAAGATCCGCTCCAACTCGGTGCTGGACTATGTCTGCTCAACCCGTACGTATCGACCCCAGCTTCCCTTCCCGCCCCGAGATCGGCCAACGGCAAATGAAACCGAAGGAGAATAAGCACTGGCAGCGACGTCAAGGATGAGAGAAACTCGCTTTTCCCTCGCAAACCTGCACTCCAACAAATCAATAAAGAACAAATGAATTGCACGGATTGCTGACAATCAATGGCGCTTCCTAGACTTCTGGGGCCCTGTCTCCAATTTCGGTATCCCCATTGCCGCTGTGATGGACACACAGAAGGACGCTGAGATGTACGTTGTTATCCGATAAATGATGAGAGCTTCGGCTTTTGCCTTCTGCATTACCCTTGGCTGCAATAATCTCAGAGCAACCGTACTGAAACTCCATCTTCACAGCATCTCCGGCCCCATGACCGGTGCCCTCGTTGTCTACGCTGCCACCTTCATGCGCTACTCCCTTGCTATCACCCCCAAGAACTACCTCCTCTTCGCATGCCACTTGACCAACTTCGGCGCCCAGACTACCCAGGGATTCCGTTATCTCAACTACTGGAAGTACGTTTCGTCCCGTCAAGGCCTGTTTTGGTCTTGTCTGTCTACAAGCATCATATGACTGTGTTTACTAATTCGGTTCTACTTTGCAGGTGGGGAGGTCGGGAAAAGCAGCTCGCCGAGCAGGCTGGTAAGGGCGGCGCAGCCGCCGAGGCCGGTGCTTAAGAATCGTCTCCGGGAAGAAATTGTTTGTGCTTTTTTTCCGGTTCATTGGGGCTAATAAGCATCTGTCTCGCTTCGCAGTATTGCACCTCCATATACATGGTTTGCTGGTTTCTGCATTGAGGCCAGATGAGTCCCGGACAATGATAAAAGAGGAGGCATATAGAGGGAGACCTGCGGGTTTGAGGAAGACGCTTAGATATTGGCGCGGGCTGCACTCTAGTTCCGGTCTGCTGATAGTCATTGTACATATGCTCTAATTATTGCGCTCAAATCACATTGCCTTCATGGTATGACCTATCTTTTTGATTGTGAGGACTTCGAGGTTCGATGATAGCCTCGGCCTGTTATTTTTGATTCATTCCTGATCCGGTGGACTTCTCAAAGAAAGCCCTATAAATATTATCGAGTAGATAGTCCCCCAAACCAAGAAAATATGTATACAGAAAGGGTATTCTGACCCCAAAATTCGCCGACTATACTGACAATTTGACCGAGACTGTGAAGAACATCACAAGTATGCCCTCCGTTCTTGTGTTGAAGCAACATATGAAAACCCAATGATAGATATACCAGTCTAGGGTTGAGACAGAATAAAGAAATGCAACAAGACCTATCTCGCCACGCTCTACAGTAACCGAAAAGAAAAATAAAATAAAATAAAACTTCTTCAAAGAGAGTCACAGTATCCTGGGCTTTGAGGGACATCAGGGCCCATCCAGCTCATGAGGGTCAGGTACGTCGTATAGACGCAGCATACGGCGCCGAAGACAGCAAGAGCCATGTCGGCAATCGCCTGGCGTTTGGAGCGAGCACAAGCACGCAGGTGCAGGAGGGGCTATAGCGATGTAATGAGTGAGTCATACCGTTCTGTGATGATTAGGAGAATATAGGATGAGGACATACCGGATATACGTAGATCAATGGAACACAAGCAAAGCTTCCGACCAGGGAAACGAACTTGTCTAGATCATTTGCACCACACCAGGCGATAAAAGCACAGACCATAACCAGGAAGAAACGGAAGCTGTTTTTCTTCCACTTGATATATGGGTTATACTTGCCACTGCGAGTGAAGAGCTCGTTCTCCATAATGCGGATAGCGGGGAAGAGCTGCAACGGAGTGCTTAGCAGGATGGCAAGTGAGTAGAGGAACTGGACAACGTTGACAAATTTATCATCCTGGGGGAGGTTAAGAAGAATGACGGTCTTCGTGGCCGATCCATAAGCCGCGTAACTCAGGGCACCGGCAGACAGGAAGATAAAGGTGATCACAACCATGACACCGGCCAGGACACCAGGGAACCTGTTTGGCTGCTTCATTGATTCTTGAATCGGGATGATGAGACCGATACCTTCGTATGTGAAGATGGCGGTACCAATGAACATGGACCAGTTGGCTGGATTGAAGGAAATGACGTCTGAAATGCCGCCCTGGTCAACCAGAGTGCTGATATCGTAGTAGTAGATATATAGTAGACCCAAAAGAATAAAGGCATCAGCAATAAGGGCGGTAAACCCAAGTTTGCTGATGTCCCGAATCAAAGACAGAGGGAGGAAGATGACCAGCTGCAACAAAACCATGTACTTGATGTCAATGAATGTCACACACTTGCTCACAGCTAGTACGAATGCCTGCAAATTTTGCGAGACAAAGACAATGTACGCTGCCACAAAGCCTAACTGACTCAGGACAATTGATCCGAGAATGATGCGTCGCATGTGCTTGCCATATAGGATGCCACCGATATCACCGAAGGACCCCTCGATCTTCATGCGAGTATTGACCAAAAGGATGAACGCATAATAGCTCAGAATTGAGACTCCCAGAAGCACCATGCTACTGAAGAGCATACCACCATTGAGGAAGGCTCGTGGCAGGAACAAAATGCCGGTACCTACAAAGGATTTGAGCAGTAAGAGTACTGCACCTGTTGTAGTAGTTGTCCCTGGCGGTGAGCGCTGCTTATGCTTTCTCTTCTTCCGACCCGCTTCAGGCTGCAATAGCGCTGCGTCTTCTCCAGACTCTCTGCCCTCTTCGACCTCGTCCCAGGCATCAGATGAGAAGTACTCGTCCGGCCCTAGCACCTCGTCATCTTCCTCCAATTCTTCTCCAGCAAAGTGTCCATAGAGAGTCAAGAACTCCAAGAAGCTCGTAGTCGGGAGTTGAGGTGCGCCATGTCCATTGGGCGCCCCTGTATTTGACCCGTGAACACTTCCGCGGTGTGGACTTCCAGCTGCTCTTCGTAGATAATCTCTGCGGAACCCTCCTGGAACCCGGATTGTGTCAATGTCTTCCGTATCGGCCTCTGGCCTTGGTCGGCTGACGCTGAAGCTTTTGCTGCGCAGGAACCGCCCTGCGGCTTCGGCCTCGGCATCCTCCGCCCAACGGTAAACTTGTCGTGTGATATCACCACCCTGAAGCTGTAGACTCGAGAAGTTATCCTCACCACCAAGGCTGGTCGCAATTTCCGACTGATTGTCTGTATGTTCCGTGACTAGATGCCGCTTGATAACTTCAGGGTCTTCGTATGGCGCCATACCCGGAGAGTCGGTTCCATTTTTTGTATCAAAAGAGCCATACTGAGAGGCTAATGGTCGGGTATCTAGAGTGGAATGCACCGCAGGGGATCCGTTGTGTCGCGACGGAGTTCCAAATCTCGGCGGCGAGCGACCAAGGCTTTCTTGGATTTGGGATGCAAGGATAGAATGTCCAGGACCGGGAATCGAGGATGGGTTGGCAATCGACCTGGAAAACTCCTGCTCGGTGCTGATATTTGTGACAGGTCGGCTGGCCGGAATACCCTGTCGAGACGACAAGGATGTTCCCAACGAAGGGGAGGGTACTGGGGATGCGAGGCGGGCCATGGAAGCCTGTCTGCCACCAAACTCAGGTGCGGGGGACCTCGAGCGCACTGAGGACGAGGCTATTGGCACAGATCGAGCTGGGTTTAGGGACGAGCCCTCTCCATTATCCGTCATTTTGAAGGTGGCCTCAGGGTCAAGTTAGCTCCTGACAAGATGCCGTGTTTAGGCTCGGGGAATGGGCATGGAAAGAATGCCGGATGCTTGAAATAACAGTGCAGGTCAGCTTCTCGGAGGGAATATTCAGGTTGAAAAGGCCAAAGTTTAACTGAAGGAGGGTTCGAGACACTAATCATAGCGCCAAGCACCCCGTGGCCGATCAACTCCAAGTGCGGTTGATGGGATGCAAACTGAAAAATGTTTGCACCCACCAACGTCATGTACTGATACAGCTTGTTTTTCTTTTTCGGTTCATTTAATATTAGCGCCGACTTTCTGCAGACTCAATGGTCTTGCTGAGACTATTAGCTTCTGTTATCTAAATTGCTTTGTTGTTTATATCCCCATGTTCGTACCATAACTCTTGCAACTGATATGGCGAAACGAGTCGGAGAATCCTCCGACTCTTTGTCTCGGCGACGCCCAGCTTTCGCGACTCGGACCGCTCAAGAGGATGTCTCACGTCTCGACCCAGGAGACTCGGCGCATGTTATCTCCGACGAACGTACCAGCCTACTACCCTGGCCACCGACTCGATGGGCCCGTCCGTATGAGCCCGTGAATTCGTCAGAACCAACCGATGACCAACGCCATTCCTCACCCGTACATTACTTCCGGGGCCTTTCTCAGTGGTGGCATAGTCGAGGGGAACATGATCAAGAACAGGAAACCGGTGGAGACACCACTTCACAAAACGTGTACCTGTCTGCGAATCCTCTCCGCGACGTCCGCGCCGATAAGAAGGACAAGAGTGGACATCGATCCCGATCGGTAGATGAGCCGAAGAAGCTTGGTACATTTTCTGGTGTCTTTGTCCCAACGACATTGAATGTCTTGAGCATTCTTATGTTCCTCCGGTTCGGATTCATCTTGGGACAAGCTGGTGTATTGGGCATATTAGGTGAGCATCCGTCCTCACCAAGCCAGGATCCCACGTCTGATACATGAAAGGTCTGCTACTCGTATCATACACAATCAACCTCGTGACAACGATGTCTCTGTCCGCAATTGCAACCAACGGGACGGTCCGAGGAGGTGGTGCATACTACCTTATTTCTAGATCTCTGGGCCCCGAATTTGGTGGCTCCATCGGCATTGTATTCTATCTTGGCTACGTTTTCAACACCGGGATGAATGCTGTTGGCTTAGTGGACTGTTTTACCCAGAACTTTGGTGTGCAGTCTGGGGACTGGGCCAACTTCCTGGAGGAAGGCTTTTGGTGGCAGTACTTATGGGGAACTATTATACTGGTATTTTGCACGGGTATTTGCTTGGCAGGAAGTTCCATATTTGCGAGGGCAAGTAATGGGCTTTTGGTCATACTACTCGTGGCAACCTTCAGTATACCGCTATCTGCGGTTTTTATGAAGCCTTTCCCAATCCCTCGCCTGGGCGTTGAATTCACAGGACTTCGTTTGAAAACTTTGATGGGAAATCTCAAACCTCATCTAACTAAGGGCGCTGCAGGGAGCCAAATAAAAGGACGAGAGAACTTCCAGGACCTCTTTGGCATTCTATTTCCTGCCACAGGCGGTATCTTCGCGTAAGTTGCTGACAGCAGACTTTCAATTCCAATTCACTAATTGGCCACCAGAGGTGCAAGTATGTCCGGTGACTTGAAGAACCCGAGCAAGGCTATTCCTAAGGGTACACTCTCGGGTTTGGCTTTGACTTTTGTCGCCTATGGGCTTGTCATCCTTGCGATGGCGGCCTCGGTGACCCGGGAGTCTTTCTATAACAACGTGAATGTGATACAAATCGTAAGTTCTTCTTGAAGAGAGGAAAACTACAAGCACGCTCTAACTGGGTGTAGGTAAATGCCTCTGATAGTGTGATCCTTTTAGGAGAGTTCGCAACCAGTTTCTTTTCTGCCCTGATGGGTGTGATTGGATCTGCCAAGCTTCTTCAAGCCATTGCGCGAGATAGCCTCTTGCCTGGCATAGGAATCTTTGCCCAAGGCGCACAGAAAACCGACGATCCCGTATATGCCATCATCATAACTTTTGTGTTCGCCCAGGTCACGATGCTCTTCGACATCAATCGAATTGCGTCTTTTGTTACTATGACCTACTTGATGACTTTCCTCGTGACGAATCTCGCGTGTTTCCTCTTGAAAATTGGCTCTGCACCTAACTTTCGACCGTCGTTCCACTACTTCAATTGGCAGACTGCAGCGGCTGGAACGCTCGTCAGTGGGATTAGCATGTTTTTTGTGGACGGTGTTTACGCTACAGGATGTGTAGGTATCCTGGTGATTCTCTTCCTGCTGATCCATTATACCTCGCCTCCTAAGCCCTGGGGTGATGTCAGTCAAAGTCTGATATATCATCAAGTGCGAAAATACTTGCTTCGCCTGCGTCAGGAGCACGTCAAGTTCTGGCGTCCTCAGATCCTGCTTTTTGTCAGTGATCTCGACAAACAATACAAAATGGTCTCCTTCTGCAACTCGTTGAAGAAAGGATCTCTGTTTGTACTAGCTCATGTTCTCGTGACCGATGACTTTTCAGCAGCTGTCCCCGAAGCACGTCGCCAACAGACAGCATGGACAAAATTTGTCGAGTATTCCAAGATCAAAGCTTTCGTCAACATTTCCGTTTCGCCCGCTGCAGAATGGGGTATGCGAAATATTGTCTTAAATTCCGGACTAGGCGGCATGAGGCCTAACATCGTTGTGATCGACCAATTCCGATCGGACCACTCGCTCGTTGAAACCTTCTCCTTGAACAGTGGTCGCAGAGAATCGAGAACTAGACGCCACTCGGTCCACTCGAGCACGCACGCCGAGGATTCCACCGGGTCTGGGTCGGCAAATCCGCCTATGAGCGGACAGAGTTATGTCACGATCCTCGAAGATCTCTTGTTCAAGCTTCGGATCAATGTTGCCGTAGCTAAGGGATTTGAGGATCTAGAGCTACCAGACCACCGCGGTCGCCACACTAAGAAGTATATTGATCTGTGGCCGATCCAAATGTCCGCCGAGCTGGGGGCTGATAATGAAAGCAAGCAAAACGTGCTGACCACTAATTTTGACACGTACACTTTGATCCTTCAACTCGGTTGTATTCTCAACACTGTTCCTTCGTGGAAGAAGACATACAAAATCCGAGTTGCGGTGTTCGTGGAGTACGAGACCGATGTGGAAGATGAAAGAGGGCGGGTTGAGGCTCTCCTGGATAAATTACGGATTGAGGCCGAAGTCTTGGTTTTCTGGCTTGCTTGTGGTGATCTCCAGACTTATCAAACTATCGTCAATGATGATGCCTCGGTCACAGCTGCTACCCGAGAGAGGGTTAATTCTGCTCTACAGGGGGAGGACTGGTGGCAAGGTGTCTTACAAGCTCGTTCCCTAAGTCAAGAACCCGATTCGGACAGGACCAGCGACAGTCTTCATCTTGATAAGCCTTATACGTTACAAAGACCATCGAGTCAAGACAGTGGAGCCAGACCTTTACACCATAGAGTGACTGGGTTGAGGAAACTGATACAGTCCACTCGTCGCCGACGATCTGTCTCCAGCTTCCGGGCTTTAGGAGGAGTGAACCTCGGTATGCAAACGCATCGCTTGCTAGATGCGTTCGTCGACTACGACAGCTCCGATAGTGCGAATGAGAGCGAAGACAGTGACCTGGAGGCGTATGTCAGCGATCCAGAACCAGAGGACGGTGGAGAAGACATAGTCAATGCTCGAAACGAAGCTGTACCCGTTTCCGGCTCTTCGAGGCTCCTTGGACGGGCCAAGACCGATGACTGCAGCCCTACCGCAGACTCCCCGAGCACACCAGTGCGTGCGAGCTCTCAAGTAGAGGAAACCTCATCCTCTCAACTAATCCCATCCATCATTGAGACTGGCGACGATGCCTCCCCGAAAAGCAACCCTCTCGGTCTACGGCCCCCCATGAGCCGTTCTGCATCCAGCAATCGGTTCAGCTCCTCCCCCATCCCCGAAGCCAAAGTGATCACCGAAGCCGAGGAGGGCAATGGACCATCTATCATGTTTGCGACGCAAAACTCACCACCCCGATTTGCAAACAAGCTAGATTCTATTTATGCTCGTCGTCCATCTGCGGTGTCTCCCACATCCCCATCCCCCGGTGCCCACAGCAATACACCTGCAACAGGATACCCTGGTGTAGCGTCGGTTGCATTATCTTTCAATGATCTCCCTAGTCGAGCACAGCATTTGATTCTGAATGAGTTGATGGTCCAGCAGAGTGGGGATACTGCTGTTATATTCACGACTCTGCCGTCTCCAGTGGAGGGAACTTCACTTAGCGCGGAAGACAGTGCGTCTTATTTGAGCGACCTAGATGTCCTGTGGAACGGCTTACCGCCGTGTCTGCTGGTGCACAGTAACAGCATGACTGTGACGATGAACTTGTGATGAATTGATGACTGCGAATTCTACAGCACTGTACATAAGAGATATTTTTCTCTTTTTTTTTTTCGGGTTTGTGGAAGTATGTATTTGACAGCAATGATACTCATGCATATATTCTAGCTAGGTATAGATTTTATATTTGACTACAACATATCTTGGCTGTAAATGACTAGTTACATACCTATGTAGTGTAGGTGTAAATGCCCGATACAAAGGCATAGAGACGATCATCCCGGCGCTACTGCACGCCACAAAATCTCTGCACCTAGGATTATTGTATTATTGTACAATATATACCTACCTAGGTAGGTAACAGATTAAGAAATAACCCGAGTTGTAAAGATATAGAAGTATACCCTTAAGACCTAATAAGGAAATAGACAAAAAATGAATCTGACCAATTAATATTGTTGTGGCTGTGATTGGATAATTCCTCTCTCTCGTTCCCTGGTCTACCCAGTAGCTTCGAGCACTTCCTCCCCCAACTTTTCGACTTTACTCCACGTCTCTTGGCTATTGGGCGATTTGGACTATTATACTCATTCTTTTACCTTCTTTACCTTCTTTACCTTCTTCACCTTCTTTACTTTCTTCACCTTCTTTACTTTCTTCACCTTCTTTACTTTCTTCACCTTCTTCAATTCCTTGGATTATTGTCTATTTCTATCTGTTTAATTCCTAATCCAACCTTACACCCCCCCCTTTGTCCCTCGAATTCCAAGCCTGTCATGACCGAGAATGTCACCCGCCCATTGAACGGTATGGGTACAAACCCCGTTTCACGTCGTACAGTCGACTTTCATCCGGAAAGTACGGTCAAAGTCCTCCCTATTCACCCGAAAGGTGTGAATGGAAACTCTGTCCTGGACGATTCCGACAGCGCCTCCGTCTCCTCCGCCTCAGAAACACACGAAGTGATCGCCAGGGAATCCAAGCGGCCGATAATGACCCGTAAGGCCTCTTCGCCTATGGCACCCACTTTTATGGTATCTGCGCCGGGTAAGGTGATCGTCTTTGGCGAGCATGCTGTGGTTCACGGCAAGGCTGCCATGGCTGCGGCTATCTCTCTTCGCTCCTACCTTCTCGTCACCACCCTCTCTAAATCACAGCGTACGATAACATTGAACTTCCGGGATTTGGGTCTTAGTCACACTTGGGATATTGACACCCTACCCTGGGACAAGTTTCACGAACCCTCGAAAAAGAAGTTTTACTACAGCCTTGTCACCGAACTCGACCCCGAACTTGTCGACGCAATCGAACCACACCTCCAGGGCGTCTCCAAGGGCCTTCCAGAGGAGCAACGCAACATCCACATCCGCTCCGCATCCTCCTTCCTCTACCTCTTCCTCTCTCTAGGCTCCCCGCAAAGCCCAGGCGCTATCTACACCCTTCGATCTACCATCCCCACTGGAGCTGGCCTAGGTAGTAGTGCTAGTGTTTGCGTCTGCATTAGTTCTGCGCTACTTCTTCAAATCCGTACACTCGCCGGGCCCCACCCAGACCAGCCACCGGAGGAGGCAGAGACACAGATCGAGCGTATCAACCGCTGGGCATTCGTTGGAGAGCTGTGTATCCATGGTAATCCGAGCGGCGTGGATAACACAGTGGCCGCAGGCGGCAAGGCTGTGATTTTCCGGCGCGATGATTACTCGAAGCCTCCAACGGTCGTCTCGGTGCCCACTTTCCCCGAACTTCCCCTCCTACTTGTCAACACCCAACAAGCGCGTTCCACAAAGACAGAAGTCGATAAAGTCGCAGCCCTAAGAAATGCCCATCCCATCGTGACGGAGTCAATACTTAACGGCATCGATCAAGTGACATGCTCTGCACAACGTTTGATCGAGGACCCTAGTTTCGAGGGCATCTCTGAGGCTACCCTCGCCCACTTTGGAACCCTAATCCGGATCAACCACGGCTTCCTTGTCTCCCTAGGCGTCTCTCACCCCCGTCTCGAACGCATTCGTGAACTTGTCGATTACGCCGACATCGGTTGGACAAAGCTGACCGGTGCAGGCGGTGGCGGATGTGCGATTACCCTCCTCCGACCTAATGCGAAGGCCGAAATCAAGCAGGACCTCGAACAGAAGTTCGAGGAGGAGGGTTTCGCTACGTACGAGGTTACCCTCGGCGGTGACGGTGTTGGTGTTCTCTACCCGGCCGTCCTGCGTAATGGCTCGGACGAAGAGGGCGGTGAGGAGATCGATCAACAGAAGTTCGAAAATGCCGAGGGCCCTGAAGGTATTGAGCGTCTTGTTGGTGTCGGGGTCGAGGAGAGGAGAGAAGGCTGGAAGTTCTGGAAGCGAGCTACCAATTAAGCCGCTTGTCTTGGCCTTGCAACGCAGTGGTGATACCAATCCCGACTTCTTTCTTTTCCTCCTACCCTGAATCACCACCTTCTGCGGCCCAATTTGGGAAAGTCATTCAGGACAAGACTTTTGTTCTGTCTTGGTTTTGATTTGACCTTCTTTTTACCCATTCATCTCCCATTCTCTGTACACATTATCCTTATCCACCATATATGCATTATACACCCACTTCTTTTCCTTTTTCGTTTCATTCTCGGCATCAACCCTAATGGTCTGTCTATCTTGTTGGGTTTTGTCGTGGACTTGACGAATGCATTTGCGTTCGTCTCCATACCTGTTCGGATTTTGGTTCTGATTCTGATTCTGTTTGTTGTCCTTGCTCTCACTTCTCGGTTTCTGCAACCTTCGTTCCGGGCTTTCTCTTTGCATGAATTAAATTGACGACATGGCTGTGGAAGGACTGCTCCCCTAGATCGGTTCGGATTCTCAAAAATACATCAATCACATAATACTATTCGGTAGAACTTGCTTCTTTTTCCCGCACATAGACAAGTAGAGATCCCACCCCGAAGTGATACATGCCCCCAGATGCATGCTTCACCCCCACAGAGGGCAGTAGAGTGACTGGGAATAGCTTCATTTTGATGAAACCAACCTTTAACCTTTGCTTGGTGCATGTACTTTTGGGACGATTTATGAGCGAGTAGTTAGTTAGTCCATAGTTGTAATCCAGGGGAACAGAAGCGAAAAGGCAAAAAAAAAAAAAATGAAAGCCTACCTTGCGATGAATGCTGATATTGCAATCGCACGCTCTACCAAATGAAGTACTGGTGCTCTTGCTGAGAGACAATTGGCTCAGTTGGTTTCTTGTGGTAAACGGATATACTCACAATGCGGTTGTGGAGATCATTGACTTGCATTGGTTGGACCATAGAAATTTAGGGAACCTACAATATCAATCATTGTGTAGCTATAGACGATGACCGAAGGATCTTGTTTACTTTTTTTTTTTTTTACTTTTTTTTAATTTACAAAGAAGTTCTTCGTCTGACTATTGCCAACACAAAGCTCAGTCCGTCCTTTTCCCTCCTACTATGGACGCCTTTCAGAAGCCGTCCATCGACATTCCATTTCCAGTACATCCTACAGCAGACCTTTTCAGAGTGTACAGTTTGCTCCAGGTTTCCCGGTATGGGTGATCAGTGTTTGAAACTCCTTCATCCAGACCTTTGAACTTTGATGAATTTGGCTCACATTTAACTTGAACTATCTGATTTCCAAGCTGCCAATACAACCCTAGAATGGCGCTAGATGATCAAATCAACGAGACTACCCAATGAGAAGACCCTAGGAGCTTGGAAGCTTCCAAGGTTGCTCATCGATTCTTAATATTCTCCCACAAGGCTTCGCTGGCCCTGCTGCAATGCCATAGGAATCTTCTCTAAGCATTCCGCAGCAGCAGCAAATAGCCCGAGAAAGACTCTGCTCGGCCGTAACACACGGCTCAAGTACTCAGGGTGGAACTGCACACCGATAAAGAAGGGATGATCACGGATCTCGACAATCTCGATACGCGTACCGGTAGTATCTTTGCCAACAACAGCAAGACCGGCCATATCAAGCCTCTCAACGATGTCCGGGTTGATTTCGTACTGGTTTCGATGCCGCTCCTCAATCTGGGAAATTGTGGGGTCATACAACGATCGCAGCTTCGACCACTCGGTACCTTCCTTGAAGATACATGGATGCTTGCCTAGACGCATGGCGTCACGGCCCTTCTCTTGATTGTGTTCCGGCATGTAAATGACCACATGGTTCTTGGATTCTGGGTGGAGCTCTTGGCTTCCAGCATCCGGGATATCCATGACGTGGCGGGCATATTCAACCACTACGAGCTGCATGCCAAGGCATATACCCAGAAATGGCTTTTTATTAACCCTTGCCCATGTGATTGCTTTGATTATCCCGTCGGTGGCGCGAGTGCCAAATCCACCAGGCACGATAATACCCTTGACGCTACAGAGATCATGCCAGGCTTTGTGATACTTGACTGCGGAGTTCTGATAGGTCTCATCCTCGAGATGCGCGGCGTCAATCAATATGATTCTGACTTTCTTGTGGCAGTACATGGCTGCGTGTTCGATGGACTTGGAAACACTGAGGTAGGCATCTTTATTAGAGGTGTATTTCCCCACAAGGGCGATTGGGACTGTGTCGGTGATAGTATCTTGACTTCGAACAAGATAGACCCAGTCATTCCACATGCGCTTGCCTTCTTCCGTGCGTCGGGTTGGTGTTCGATCAAGTGGAAGTTCGAGATACTCGCAGAGGATGCCGAGCAGATTCTGTTTCTCGAGGAGAAGAGGTACGTGATATGTAGTTGATCCGTCGTGTACGGAAATGACCTGCTCCGGTTCCATTGAGCACATATTGGCGATTTTCTGGATGGTGCCTGGATCCAATGGCACCTCGCAACGGCAGGCGACCTTTTTTTATAGATTAGCTCAGAACACATTATGTATATAAGCATAGAGTGGTAGCATACAAGAAGTGGGCTCAATCCAGCACTCCGAACATCAGAAATGGACCTTTGAGTCGGTTTTGTCTTTTGCTCACCGGCTCCCGGCCTAGCCTGATGTTAGCTCACAGCGATATTTTCCTCGCTTGAAACAAGAAAAGCTCACGGTATGACAGGGACATAAGCTACGTGGATTTGAACGAGATTTTCTTTGCCGACCCTCTTCCGAAGCTGAGCAAGAGCGTAGACAAAGGGTGAACTCTCAATATCGCCCACGGTACCACCGAGCTCAATAATACACACATCAGGCTCGGCTTGGGACTTGTCCACGGGTATCTTCGCTGTCCGTTGGATGTATTCCTGGATGGCGTTGGTAACATGAGGCACGACTTGAACAGTTTTGCCTAAGTAATCACCGGCCCGTTCCTTCGAGATGATGTCTCGATAGATCTTCCCAGTTGTGATGTTATGGCAATGCTTCAGAGTGATTGAAAAGTAACGCTCGAAGTTGCCAAGGTCAAGATTTATCTCACCACCATCATCCGTAACATAGATCTCTCCATGGCTAGGTCGGTTAGGACGTGGGCCTGCAGAAGCTGTATCAAATTGGTGAGACTTACTGAAGTGGGCTCGTAGTCCCCGAATCGATGTTGATGTAGGGGTCTATCTTGATAGTGGTGACGATAAACCCTTTGCTTTGGAGCAGTAGGCCTGCGCTCGAAGCGACGATGCCCTTCCCTGCTCCAGAGATGACACCTAAAAATGTCAGTGTCTTATATCTTCGGGGACCGTATACCTCACGCTAAACGTGAAATATGGAGACTGCCCCGCTTTTCTCCACGGCTAACTGCAGAGCCACTTTCAAGGGTCTGGTAGATCACTGTTGAACTCACCTCCAGATACCACAATGTACTTCATCTTAGCACGTCGAGGGTCGAATCTGGATAGGAATGTTGATGGAAGGTAAGGTAAGAGAGAGAGAAAGAAAGCTAATCCCGATTGGGAAACATTTTTATGTACAACATGTGGGGTGGCAGATCAGACACCGCCTTTCTTTTTGGACAAAAGGTTTCTTTTGGTCTCTTCTTTGGTCAACTTTCTCTTTTTGTTCTTTTTTTTTTGTTATCAGAAGTGATAGAATTGGAAAGCAGGAAGAATCAATTTGCTGCATAGGCCTATACAGGAAGAAATGTTGTCGACTGAATCTTAAGGCCAAATGCGGATGCACTTTGTCACTTTGTACGGTACACAGTACACTTGCCAACATAACTAGTTAGTTATAGTTAACTACTGCTACATAGTTATGTTGTATACGCCTTTGGCCACCATACAAATCTAGGTATCTCTATATTTCCTAGCGGTTGCAAGTCCAAAAAATGGAGCTTTTGTACACCATACAAATTCAGGTATCTCTATAGGGACTTCTAAAGTAAATTGAAACTGAATTGAAACTGAATTATATCTGAATTGAATCTGAGGTAAATCCGAATTGAATGTATATCCAAAAAATGAAGATACCTGATTTGTATGGAGGTCAAAAGCTTCATTTTTTGGACTTGCAGCAGAATCAGGGTACTTGGATTACTAAGGCGCATGTAATAGTAATTCAGGTATTTTAATTTTTCTGTCGTTCGAAATTAAGGCATTCAGGCATAAACCCCTCCCAAAAGAGGTTTTGACCCCGGGCCCCTATACGTCTTCGTATACCGTATAGCCTCGTGCACCATCAGCTGAATTTCGATATCAATATCCTTTTAGCCATAAATCACGGATATTCAAGGGGTTACCTTCAAACAAACCAATATCCCGAGGTCCCGATCCGACCTCGGAAGTATCCGACGTCATGACTTCTCTCAACTCTCAATATACTCAACACACACCAATGCACAATGCATGGTGCAAGACAAATCGAGGTGCACAAGAAATTTAACAGCATGATCCAACAAAGATGTTCAAAATATGGTTGTGGTGATTGGAAACCCGCCTTCCTATATGTCGCCATGTCAGTAGATCCAAGCTGTTTATGACTCCTCCTTAGACATGATGATTCACATGCGGTGTCCATTCAGGGTCCATGATGCCTCTGTGGAGAACACCTGTCAGGCCAGGTTCAAACGAACGAATCACACCTCATAGTCATGTAAATCACTCTGACCAAAACAGGGGCATCGACTTTTCGAAAACCTTAGCCTTCTAAAGTATGGCTTTTTATCGACTCTTTTCGCTCCTCTACAACTATTTGCTATATTTCTCCCTATAGGTTCTGAGTCGTCATGAAGCCTATATCTGTGTCAGGCACCGGTCTCGCGACATCTATTGCTTTGGCGACATGTTTAGCAGGCGCGTTGGCCAAAGGGAATAGTTCGACTGTTCCGCTCAGGCTGACAGTCGCAAGGGAGGGTGGCAACAAGTCGAGTCCGCTCCTATATGGAGTTATGTTTGAGGTGAGCAAAATGCTAGCTCCATGCACGAACTATGTCACTAAGCTTTAAATATTGTTAGGAAATGGACCACTCTGGTAAGAGATTTGCATTTGCTGTCGAGATCATTACGAGCACGACTGACTATTTTAAGGTGATGGTGGAATTCACGGACAATTGCTACATAACAATGGATTTCAAGGAACTAGTCTGGGTCTGACTGCCTACGCTCCGGTGGGAGATGTGACAATCTTCCAGGATACCTCAAAACCCGTCAGCAAAGCAATTACGTCTTCGCTCAATGTTGAAGTACCAAATGGGGTTAAAGACTATGTTGGCTTTGCCAATACCGGTTACAAAGGAATTCCAGTCACCGGCGCCACATACAACTGTTCATTCTGGATGATGGGTAACTACTCGGGAACCATCAACCTGCAGCTTGTTGGGTCGCATGATGGTTCGATACATGCCGATCACAACTTGACTGTCAACAGTACGGATTCAAAATTCACGGAATTCAAAACCAGGTTCAACACTACTTATACACCAAAAGGGGACAATGAGTGGCATTTGACCTTTGATGGATCGAAAGTTGCTGGTAGCTCGTTGAACTTTGGCTTAATTCAGCTGTTTCCTCCTACTTTCAAAGGAAGAGAAAATGGGTTGCGAGATGACATTGCATTGTTTCTGGACGAGATTAATCCATCGTTTCTCCGTTTCCCCGGTGGGAACAACCTCGAAGGCTTGCAAGTTGAGTCTCGCTGGAAGTGGAACACCACGATTGGACCCGTGGTCGACCGCCCAGGAAGAGAAAGTGACTGGTTTTACCCTAACACAGATGCCCTCGGCCTGGACGAATATCTGTGGTGGTGTGAAGACATGAACATGGCGCCACTCCTAGCTGTGTGGTCAGGCAAGTCCTATGGGGACATCCTCTCCGGGCCAGACCTTGAACCTTTCGTCGAAGATACCATGAATGAGATGGAATATCTCTTTGGCGACTCCTCGACACATTATGGCAAACTGCGAGCCCGCAACGGTCGGAAAGATCCATGGAAGGTTGATCTTATTGAAATTGGAAACGAAGATGACCTGACCCGTGGCTGTGACACCTATCCGGATCGTTTCAATCAAATCTACAAGGCCATCCACGACAAATACCCACACATCACGCTTGTTGCCTCCCATGGGAATTATTCATGTCTGCCATCTCCCCTTCCCAAAAATGTCATTATCGATCTGCATCTGTATCGCGCACCAGACGACTTTGTCAAATTGTTCGATCAGTTTGATAACCAGCCGCGGAACCAGTCAGTGATGATTGGAGAGTTCGGATGTCGCAATACTACAGAAGAGACAGGAGTATACTGGCCTTACATGCAGGGCAGCTGCAGTGAGGCTGTATACATGATCGGAATGGAGCGCAACAGTGATATTGTCAAGATGGTGGCTTATGCACCCTTGATGCAGCACTTTGATTTCGTCACTTGGTCGGTAAGAATATCTATGCAAAAGACGTGAGAGAAATACTGGGAATATAGCTGACCACACCTTTTTATACTCATAGCCCACCTTGTACGGGTTTGATTCCGCTCCTGACTCTATCACACCTACAGTTTCATATTTTGTGCAAAAGATGTTCGCATCCAACAAGGGGGACACCATTCTTCCAGTCCACTCATCGGCAGGATTCGGACCTGTTTACTGGGTGGCCTCGAAGACAGGTTCACAATACTACTTAAAGCTAGCAAATTATGGTCACGAGCATCAGAATGTTAAGGTGAGTATACCAGGAACAAAAACCGGTAGACTGGAGATGCTTTCTGGACCCAAGTATCACGGCGACACGCCTTCCAACGTGCAAATCAAAACTGTCACCACCAGTGTCTTCAATGGACAAGGGAATTATACAATAAGCATGGATCCTTGGGCTGTCGCTGTTCTGGCAGTCTCATGAATGAGATGCATATGTCCCATAGATCTCAAGATATATCACAAAGTGCACACAGCATGAATGTGCGGGAATTCCACCCAACCAAGAACGGCTCATCCCAGTCATCATCATCAACTAGCATTTCTCTCATTCTTTCAACGCAAATATATCGTATCCGGGATGTTCGTCACATTGGAAGGCCTGCGCATTATTCGCCAGGTTGACCTCTTCGCTCAGTTAGTACTTCCTTGGTCAATATTGCTAAGCAACATACCAGGTAGTCGCCCGTGATATCTCATATGCAGGATCGCCTTTTGTACATTAGTACTGTTGGTTGTTGGTTTAATCTAGGCGTTCTGCATACCATGATAGCCAGAGCAATTATTATTTACTATCACTTGGATTGGCAGACATTAAGTCGTTGAGTTTAAATGAAATCCTCGTAGAATATAGAATATAACTAAATAATTGAAATTGACTCCTTCTACTAAGATATTCTGGTTCTTCCAAGTTGAACCCCCTCTGCTGCTGAGGAAAAAGCAAAACCCACGGTAATCACTTCCCCCCACTGATTGAGCCAATTAAATGAGAGTGATGGGACATAATTCAGACCAAATTCAGGGTTGTTGGTGATTGAGGCTGACTTTTGTCGACATTATTCCCGTGGAATTTTTGCTTATTCCCCCCTTTGGCGTATTCCAAAGCGCTGGCTGCGGGCGATCACATCACAACGTACCCAATCAGGGAAAATATCTCAATTTATGGACGAGTAGGATCTTCTCGCAATTGTTGGTAAGATTTGGATAATGTCTATGAATGTTGTAGGAGAAAATACAAGTTGATGTGTTGTTACTCCCGAGGCTTAAAATTTGTCGTAAACTTGCAATATAAATGTGGGGGGAGGGGGGACCATCTGCGTCGGTGTATTTTCGTGAACCGTGAAGATTCACTTGATAATCGTAATTGTCACTTTCTTTGTCCCCTTTGTTTGTCTTCGAGCCAAAATGCATGAGACTATCCCCGGAAACGAGGTCTACGGACCGGGAACCTATATCGACAAGATCGTCCTCCCTGTACCGGAAGATTCCCGCCGAATCTTTGAACTACTGGCATCACGAACACCCGGTTTCACAAAAGACACTGTATTATGGGATACTGTTAGCTTCGAAGGCCGGCTGGAGCCTATGGTCCCCGGTCCGATGAAGTCCCCCGTCGTGGCGGCAGCTCTGCATGCTATGTGCGGGTTAGTTGGAAACGAACTCCTTGAGCTACGTGATGGAAAGCCAGCGAAAGAAGCCAGCGTGACTGTAAACACCGATCATGCTGGAATCTGGCTTGCATCGACGTTTACTGCATTTGTCAATGGCAAAGATGTCTCGACTCTTGCACGGGCCCGCGAACTTCCGAACATCTTCGACAGGGACTTTGAGAAGGGGTTCGGGGTCGGTCCGTTGGCTGGTCGAGCCACTGCACTGTATCCCACCAAGGACTCCGCGGTGTGGTATCAACTCCATGGGTCGCTGGATGCAAGCAAGACACTCTGCTCGATGGGGATCAATATGGATGTGCCATTGAAGTCGTTTCAGGAGGGATATGACTATATTCGGGAACATGTGCAGAAATGGAGCCCCGATGAACTTGAGATGCACAATGTGAGACATGGATTATGTGGGAGCATCTGCTATTCGCCTGAAGGCTGGAGGAAGACTGAAATGGGGAAGCGGCTCGCGGAACACCCTCTCGTGAACTATACGCGTGAGTCGTATGCGAAATCGACGCCTCCGGTTCTCTTACCTCAGCTTCCTGATCGTCGGCCTCTGGCTGGGATCAAGGTCGTGGAGATGGTGCGGATTATCGCTGGTCCTACTGTTGGGGTGACCCTTGCATCGTTTGGTGCCGATGTCATCCGAGTCAACTGTAGTAGACTGGCAGATTTGAATGTGAGTGATATGGACTTTCCTTTTTATCTCAAAACAAAAAGCTGATCATGCCTGTCCAATAGGTCCTCCAATTAACTCTCAACGCCGGAAAACGCACGATCGATCTCGATATTGGACAGGAGGAGGACATGGCCCGACTCAAGGAGTTGGTGAGCGACGCAGATGTGTTTGTCCAAGGCTTCCGGTACGGGTCACTAGACCGGAAGGGACTCGGTCTGCAAAGCATGCTGGATGTGGCAGCCAAAAGAAACAAGGGCATTGTCTACGTCGATGAAAACTGCTACGGTCCATCTGGACCATTTGCCGAAAGGCCGGGTTGGCAGCAGATCGGGGATGCCGCATCGGGTGCTTCATACGTGATGGGTCAGTCGTTGGGATTCGATGAAGGAACTAGTGTTCTTCCACCGCTGCCAATCTCTGATATGACTACTGGCGTTATTGGTGCTTTGGCGACAATGTTGGCTATCCGGGATAGGGCCCAGAAAGGTGGCTCGTATCATGTTGTAAGCTCGCTTGTGGCGGCGGACGTCATTCTGGTGGACCCTGAAGTTGGCCTCTATCCCGTTGAAGTGGTAGAAAAAACTCTCGATACGTTCAAATTCGCACGCTCGTCTCCGGATCAGTTCGTCACGGAGATTATGATCCAGGTTATTGATGGATGGAAACGGGTTTTCCCGGAATATATTGCACAAGACTCTCCATTCATGATGAGCTTTGAAGATAGCCCATGGGGGCGGATGGATATGTTGAGGCCCGTGGCCCGACTAAATGACAAGGACGCAAGTCCTATTTGGAAGAATGCTCCTGTTCCGAATTGCCATCATGATCAAAATATCACTTGGCATGATCATCTCGCAGGGAGACGTTCTGGATTGTCATATTAGTATATACGATATAACTTCATGATCATTATATTCAAATTCCCAACTCTCCAGTGCTTTCAGATAAATCATATGCACCAAAATCATAGGCCGGAGGAACAACTGCTAGCATATCTTGCCAGTTCAAAGAAAGAGGAGCGGGTGGCCCTGTAGTATAGGAACCTTGATCTGTAGATATCAAGTTTGAAGACTGGATGTTGTCGGCATTATTTTCAGTCGCCTGGGAAGGATTGAAAAAAGCCGGGAAAGAGTTCGGGGCCAAGTAGTCATCTTGCGTGCACATCTGCCCCTGCGGACGAATGGCAACTGGTTGATCATCAATCGTGGGTTCTAGCTCGGGATTTCTGGCCCGATGAAACTGTTTCCTGACTGCATTTTCGAAGTCAGTGCACAATGCCAATACATAGTCCAAATATGTATCTTGCTCTTGGGATGCGACTCTTGATATGAAACTGACAACCCCATGAATCATAGCAATACCCGATTCAGTGTCAGGACGCGAAGGATCAGTGAGGATTTGGGAGAACAATGCAACCAAAGCTGCTCCTGGGAAGTAAACAATGCTCCTGGGTGATACATTAGCGACTAGCAAAAGTTCGACACATCAGATTAGCTTACCATTCGAAGGTTTGGCCGTAGTGTCGTCGGACTTGACTGATCAGTTCGATCGCTGCTCTTGCTGCTTCCGTTGATTGTTGGACTAATCTCTCTTGGTCATTCGACAGACCCGGGGGGCTGAGCCGCTCACTCTGTAGGCCGGTCGGCCAGCGCCGAGGAAGTAGACAGACTCGGTGGATATTGACGTAGCAACAATGGTATGCAAAGTGAAGTCTGAGGATGCTCGGTAGGAAGAGATGGTGGTCGGTCGAAAAGTTTCTTCGGGACCGGAGGATCGGTGGGATACTTCGGTTCCATGCTTCAAGATCGTTGAAGCAACCCCTCACATCTTTCATCAACTGTTCTTGAGTCTTATTGTATGCATCGGTGCTATAGAGCATCGCAAACTTTCCGTTGGATGACAGCAAATCGAGCGAGTGCTGAGAAGAAATTGACCGTGGAATTGTCCGATCTCCATTACACCTAAGCCATCAGGTGGGTTCTCATGAGACAGCAAAGTACTGTAATCGCGAGTATCTTGGGCAGCAGGGCGGCCGGTCCTCTGGCAGATGTCGGCGTCCAAAATGAACGCTATCCAGAAGACTCTTTTCCATTCTTCGATCTGGGACGCCGGAAGACCAAAGTAGTTGGACTTGTGCAACCCAATAGATTGTGACAGACGTACAGCTGCAGCGGCAAACATGAACAGAGGTTGTGGGTTTGGCGTGCCATGAAAGAAGATTGCCAGCCCAAGAAGCGCTTGAACAGCAAGGAGATCGCAGGTTCGCATGAACAACTCTGTGACCACGTTCATTGCGTTTTTGACATGACCCAAGCATTCTTGCCAGTCGTCGCTGCTGGCACCGGAACTCTCTGCCCTTTGCATGTATGCAAAGGCAAGGACAATATTGAATGCAGCCCACCATGAGGGACTTTCGTTAGGATTCCATGAGAAGTGTCTGCTGACCATTGCCATAAAACTTTCGGGCCCGAAGAGCGGTAGGGCCTTGTTGAACGTGTCAAAATATTCATGGACAAGATCTAAGATGACCGCCTTCGATGGTAATGGTTGGGAGCATCTGCTTTGGAAATCATCTTGAAGAGTTCGAGGATACCAGTCGGCTAGCCTCCATCGACTGCTGTTTCTCTGAACGACATGGCGCCATACATTATTACCCGTCTTGCTTTCAAGCCAGCCCACACCCTCAGGGGAAAGGATCGAAAAATGAGAGGATGCACCTGGGCGTAGTCGGTAGAATCAGCAGCCATCCGTGTGACCATTGAGGAACGATAGTCGGTGAGCCAATTCTCACCAAAAAAGCGCATTGCGCCTTTCGGAGTTTTAATGGTATATGACCCTTCATCGCCATGGTCTCGATCGGCCTGGGTCTCGAAAAATGCTTGAGCGGTGCCATTTCTCGGAGATAGCAACTCTAAATCAGATGCTTCTGAGGGTTGGACATGCTCTGGGCCTGTGTCTTTGTCACGAGTCAACAGTCGCCGTCTCTTGGACGCATGTGCTTCATTCAATTCGTCTTGTAAAGACTAAATGCGCTGCTCTAGCTCATGAACATTTTCCCCGCTGTGAGTGAGTCAGTGAGTGAGTGAATATGTGTTAATTTTAAAGACCCAACAAGCAAAGTAGAATATACAGGTTGTGCTTTTCTTGCGTCGCACGGTGTCTTCGTATTTGCAGGGTAAGTCGAATGTTCTGCAGGGGACACAGACTGGCCGAGTCCCATCACATTTGACCTTCTTTCGTCTGCATATACTGCATGCCTTTATAGTGTATGTAGGTCAGCTTTCAATTACAGTTGTTCCCTCAATGTTGTTCCCTCAATGTATGGGGGCCATGGGCCCATCTGAGGGCAAGTCTATACCTTGGCAAGGCGTATACCATTGCTGGGGTTCCCATCCATGATACAAAATTATTGTATAGTAGCACCAGAACTGTTCTCAGAATTGCAATCCCTGCGCGGCTCCAACCATCATGATTAACAATTGTAGGCCGAGGCAATATGAGAGGCTAAGATTCAGGCGTTAAGGTGTTGAGGCGTTAAGGCATTAATAATGAGTCATCAATAATACCTCAGGCCATAACTGTATAACTATGCTACTCAATTGGATTTAACACATCCCCTAGGTAGCCCCATTAGGATCGTCTGGGCCTTCATTTGGACTTGTCACCAAAAACCGAGAGACTCAGCCCCGAATCACAAGCTGTGATTCCAGTAGATTGTTTAAAAGTCCTAATTATATTTACTCACCGCGGGATATCCATCGGGGAGGATTAACGGCCTGCCGAAGAAGTTGGCCTAGAACGCTCACCTTGGCATTCTGGAAGACTTGCACTTTTGAACTTTCTAAATCGGTCTGCATGTGAGTTGTGAATCTAGGGTGCATTCTATATCAACTTTATTGGGATCCTATCTATAGATTCTGAATGGGAATTCTAGATGGACATCAGTGGTATAGTAAGTAGGTAAACAAGAGAACTAGAGCAGAAGTCATATATCTCACCGTATACGATTAGACCAAAATAGTAATAAATAATATGATATGAATCATTTGAATCATTTGATTCAATTTGGGTTATCCTGTACACCTTGTACTCCCCTAACATAGGTTCCTTCAAATGTACTTTGATCTTTGTGTATCAGGAATAGTTCGAGCTCGCGATATATTTCCATTCTTCGAACCTCATCACCGAATTCGTAGGACCAGCTATCCTAAAAAGGAACGATTTGTCCCAAATCATAGCAATGCAACGGGACGTTACTCTGTATAACAACCCAATCTAGCCACAGCAAATAGCCGCGAACCATAATCAAGCCTAAATGCATAGCTGATAGAATTATTGTTCACTGACCGCCACGACTATTGGAATATTGTCGCACGATTCAGCTGTGTCTTGGTATCTGTTTGAATCACCTTTGCTCTGCCTTCGGTGAATGGCTGTGGTTCTGGCCATTGTCACACTATTTTTTGCATCACAGACTGGACCTCTCAGACCAAGGTTACTCTCTCTTCAAGAAATTATATTCAAAGGCAATGTAACCGTAAAACAGGAGGTACTTCTATCGGCCAAGTTGAGACATGTATCGATCAATGAAAAATAAGAATGAAGCCACGGCGAAGGCAAGCTTGTTGAATCTATTGGCTGACTTCGAGCTTGTCACGATGTTATTAATATTGTTTCAAACGCCTCATTGCCAAGGAGCAAATATGGTTGCAACAACAAGTCATGAATGCAACCTGTGGCTGGATTATCTGTTCTTACCCGGTTGTTTTGCAGGTACGGTGCTTCCCAGGTCGTATGAACTTGTCCGACAAGTCAAAAGATCACTCCAGACAATCGAACTTCAGCACTTCGCCGAAGAGTTCAGTAACTCCCACATATAAAAGCATCAAACCATCATTTTCAAGCATTCTTCTTTCCCTCAGCCAAACTCCTCAGCTTCATTGCCAGTCTCCAGCCATATAATCAAGAACAAAAGCCCACAATGGTTGCCATCGGTATCCGATCTCTCCTCTGCATTTTGGGAATTGCTTCCCTTGGCACATCTGCCGCTGTCAACACCGATACCATTCAAGGCTGGCAGCTGACCCAATACTGTGAGTTGAGCTAAAGTAAAGCTCCACCATCTCAAGCTAGGCTGATGCAGAATCAGGTAACGAGTTCTATACTGTTGGTAATGGAGACACCTGCTGGGACATTATCGCGCGAAACCAGAACAAGTTCACCATGAGCCAGCTTCTGTGCTGGAACAACGACATCAACCCGTGGTGCTCGAATCTGATTCCGGGCCGACAGGTCTGCGTTGGAGTCGAGCATCCTGGGCCCGTCTGCTAGATAATGAAGTTCATGGCTGGATTGCTGGCATTATAATTCGAGAAAAAAAAACAAGTGCCCGACATCGCCGAGACCTTTAATCTGATTGTTTGATGGAAGTAATGAGAGAGTAATTTTTTGATCTGTTATTACAGACGGTCATTCATTAAATCAAATTTGAGAAGCTTGTTGGTATTGATAAACTTATGCACTGTTTCTGTTCCAGGCATTGTGTAGGAACTGTCTCATCGTAACTGGCTTCACCTCCGGGAACCGGGTATTTAGACGATCGCCCGGCAATTGAAAGACATTGTTGACTGTGAGTCTGCTCACCAACGCAGTGGCCTCTTTGAGCTCGTCCGTTGAGTATTCTATTCCCTCTGGCTGCGGAGGGACGGTGACATGACCAGTCTTGATTTGCTCCAGACTATCGTATGTCACCTTGAATTTCTTGCCTGTTTCGGAAATTATTATTAGGTTATTGGTGTATCTAACATAAGGACGTGCGATATGCTTACCAGTGAATTCTTCCGCCATGCTGAGAACCTGGTTGTAGGTAACTTCATCTCCAACGATTACAGTGAATTCAGGCCATTCATCAAGGTCCAGTGCTTTGACTAGGTAAGTAGCCATGTCGTACGTATATGTCATACAGATCACGTTGTTCCCGTCTCCTGGGATAGCAGCCGTGCCGCTGAATATATCAATACCAAAGGTGAAGGGCTGCAGGTGAGTTTGGACATGGGGCATTCCCCAATAGTCCATAAAGAAACCGGGGATTACCCTGGTATATTGTAAGCCACTAGCCTTGAGGCGATCTGCCGCATCAAGCCAGTATTGGATACTAGGGTCAATCGGGAGTAACCTTAGAAGGTTAGATATCAGCAAGGATATGGCATACAGCTGAAGCTGGCTGGCCTACTCGGTGGTTTGGACGAATGAGTATTCACTGGGGATGAATCTTTTCGTCGATGCTGAATTCTTTGCAGCTTCAATCAAGTTCAACTGAGACTGACTTGTCTCATCAGAAACAAGACCAATGGCGGATATGACGGTGTGGATGTTGTGTCGCTCAAGCACACGTGCCATCGAGGGAATATCCTGGTAGTTGACCTGCACATTTTGAATATTCTGTGAAGAAAGGTCCTGTTTTACCTGAGAAGAAGGTCAGTTACTTTCTCGAGTGGAAAATGTCTCTACTTAACATACACTGCGAGATAAAACGACAACGCCAAATTTAGAGTCGAGCAATTTTTCAACGATAGTTTTTCCTACTCCACCAGCTCCACCAGCCACAGCAATGACCGTCATGATTGAGAAGTCTTTGATAATCGAAATAGTCGAAATAGTCGAAATAGTTGAGGTTGCCACGGAGGAGGTCCCCGCGATAACCCCACTACAACAGATTTTCATGCATTTACTACTTCTACATCTAACTGTAGGGTCCACAACGTATAATTAACTGCTTATGTATTTCGAATCCCTAATCTACATATTGCCAAACTCCAATCAAATCTCTCTAGAAAGCACACATCGGGGATTCGGGATCCAGACATCGGCGACTTCAGGACTTCCCCGGAGGCCCCGCGGTCACGGTATTATGACTAATATCGGAGGGAAAAGAATATAAAAGCCAAATCTCCCGATGTTTCTTCTTCAGCGATTTTCCCTCTAAAACCAATATACAAAATCTTATCTCATCATGTGTATGAAGGCTACCTGCTCGACCTGCAGTGAGTGTTCACTATATTTCTCTTCAAAAACAGCAGCTAATTATTACAGACAAAGTCACCTGGTGGGGCTGTGGAAGCCATATCCCTTCGGTGATGGACTCAATTCCCGAAGGCGATTGGTGTGCCTGCACACCTCAAGTTGAGAAGGATGGGAAGAAGTACCCTCCCAAGGCGGCGAAGGCCGGTTGACTACAAGGATGTGTGATTTGTTAGTTTGAGGAAGTGAGTGTCGCATGTTTTTTGAAAGAAAGAGCGTTGTAAGGGAGTTGTTATCAGAAAAACTTGGTGGATCTGTCAATTGGAGCAGAAATATTATGACAGTATAACGAAAGACAAAAGCAAAAGCAAAATTCAACCATGTTTAATATAAATCCAAGGGATTGAGTGTGGCTGCACTGTTGCCGGTCTCATAAGTTGGGAGATCAATAACTATAGACACTATACCTCAACCGAGTGAAGACTGGTAATCGGTGCAAACGAGCGAAACCCTCATAGACTGGTAACACCCGGTGGTTGAAGCTATATATTCCATATCAAGTCAGAAACCGAGGATAATATTTGCATGTAGGGTGATCAACTTACATCTTCCACCCACCACGCTTTAGTGGTATCGTACTCCCCAGCCAGTTTCTTATGAAGATTCGCTTCGAACCTCCGGGGGGTATTGACCTGCATGCCCTTCGACCAGTACTGGGTTTCATGTCAGTTAGAAGCCCACTTCTTGTACGTTCGAAGGTACGACACATGAGGAGGTTGGTCAACGAGCTTCACTAAGTAGTCTGTCATGTCGGAGAAGGAAGAAGATGGATCCCAAGATGGAAAGCGTGGTCAATGGTTTCTTTCATATTGGAGGGACATGAACTTTGGGGAAAGACCGACTTGACTGCTATCACGCCTGTAGCAGATACTTTCCTACAGCATACAAAACTTTACATACACCTCACACACCAGAACAAAAAACTAATCCATAAGCCGTCAATTTCTAACCAGTATGCACCTTTATTCTTTCTCGATCATTTCCATACGTGAATATCATGTAGATCAATCACAAAAAAAGCGCAGAAACGGGGCAATTTTTCCGACCTAAAAACAAAGGAACGGTCGTACTAACACGAAGGGGATGACAGGAGTAAAAAAGAAACCGTGAAGAAAGGGGAAAAATAAAAGAGAAAGAACATGCCATTACATCAGAATCTAAGCCTTGATCGCTGCACCCAATGCACCACCACCGAACTGCTGGCCACCAGGTCGACGATCACCTTGGGGAATGCGGGCACCGCCACGACCACCACCACGACCGCGACCACCGCGTCCGCCACGGGCACCGGGACCGTGTTCGCGCTGGAAGGCGTTG